CAAAAGTTAAAGTCAGTGAAAAGTGAAGTATTTCCTTCTTTAACCGCGGACAATTTTTATAATAAAGTGAAATTTAAGTAATATACCTAAAACCTCTACAGTACAAAGAATGTTGCCAAAACATCGATAAAAGATAACAGACAATGACGGCGAAAACTTGGTCGAGGAACTATTGGTTCCCATTGAATGCAACAATGAATAAATTCACGTCTCTCTGAAAAATCCAAACAAATCTTTTGACTGACAGTTCGAGAAGTCCGAACCGAACTTTTCGACGGATGAAATTAATTTGACGTATTCGGTCCGCAACCAGTTGTTACGTATGGACATGCCGGCGCATGGCTATTTGCGCATCTGTTGGAGAAGTTGACGTACATTGAATCCAAATCAAATGGAACAAGTGAAACATTAGACAGCCAAGTGGGTTTACCTTTTCGCGTTAATTACTTTGTCGACATAAATACGTATTACGCCCTGATTTTCCTACACACGGTCATAAACGAAGTACTGTACTTGAATTTTGTATGTGCAGTCGATGTTTTGTATTTGACATTTGTTGAATATTACTGCGGCCTGCTCGCAGCTCTGAGGTAAGAGTCCACGTGACTGTCCCCACCTACGAGACTGAGAAATAAAATTGTGGCCAGTTTCGGTTGGAAATTAGCTATCGCGTCGACAAAATTGTTAAAATCAATGTTCTTATTTCCGGATAACATCGTGGCTTAGCTGTATCATGGAAAATGCACACAATTTGAAAGGCGGTGTCGACGATCCGTTAAAGCACGTCACGAAGAACGGTAAATCTTATTCCATTGTCGTTTACAGCATTCAAAGACACACCGAGGCGATACAGTTAGTACATGCAATACATGCAATCACTTATTACTTTCATGGCTGGTAAGGTTTAAGAAAACTTTCTAAAAGTAACTCGTCGCCGTCACTCGTTATTTGGAAAAATGACTCACTGCCTTTACCGTTGCTCGTCTCGAAAAATGACTCAAGAAGTAATGAGTCGCTACGATTTTGGTTATATATTTCACAAATTATGAAGATCTTTTTTTTACAATACGCTGCTGCCCATACATGTATATGTATACATTATATCCGTTACAATTATATTCGTTACTATTACATAAAAAGAAATATAATAACTGTTACATAATTAATGAAGAAATTATGTCTCTTCTTATCTGTTATTGAGAGAAAGTAATTGAAACGCTGTTACAAGTGACGTGTTACTTCTCACAGCCTTGATAATAGATAAATAGTAAATACGTACTGTGATAAATTAATATTAATATTAATATTAATATTAATATCTCATATATTACGGCAGATTTATTGATATCCTGGAGTCATTGTACAGGCTACCCCTTTTCATCCATATGGGTTGTATCATGTTGATGATAAGTATTATAGGATTTCAGGTGCATTTTCGTATATTGAAAAGCGTACGGTAATAATTATGCAATGATCTCAATGAAGTGATACATTTCTTTGCAGGCGATAACATATGTCGACGACCTGAATCGCCTTTCACAAAGTTGTGTTTATCTTAGTGTGTGTCTTATTGGTACATTTTTCGAGAACTGGCAAGGTCAGAAAGTCATAGATTCCAATGAAAAGTTGTACCATTCCATGTACGTTTAATGGAATACGTTTAATATATATCCAAAATCGCAAAAATTGTAGAATTGGTAAAACTGAGTCCCTGGCGCACAAATGTCGGATACATCTTATAACGTATGAAATAAAAATAATCTGTTACAGATATAACATGAAATGGTATGAAATGTCATGTGCAGCAAAAAAGCTAGTAATTTTGATCATGCTAAGAAGCTTAAGACCGACGCAGATAACGGCCGGCCAGATTATCGTGATGTCATATGAGAATTTCAGTGCGGTGAGTGCTATTGTATTATGTGAAAGTGAAGCATGTACAAGCTTATTTTTTATTGTATAATTTTTGGTTTTAGGTAATACGAATGTCCTCGTCATATTTTATGCTGCTGCGATCTATGCAAACTATGTAAAATATTTTTAGAAAATTCGCGATTATCGAATTTCGCAGTTGGCTGAATTAGTATAAAGTAGATATCCAGTAGTATATCCAAAGTAGATAGTCGTCTTATTTGTACATTTAGATAATTGTAGGTACATTTTAGGAATTTCATACGTGAATAAATAAAATGTAAAAAAGAAATTGTATAAATAATATTTGTCACTTGTAAATAATCTTTTACAGTTAGGTTAGTTCCTGTCAAACGGAAAAATTCTTATAAAAAATTTGATAATAATATGTCTTCTGATTGAACAAGATTACATGTGTGCGTGTGTGTGCGTGCATGCATGCGTTCGTGTGTGTATATATATATGTATATATTTTAACAATACAAACATTTAATTTCAAAATTCTGGCAACGATGAAAATACTCTAGGAGAGGCTATAGATTGTGTTCGATCACTTATACACATCATTATACTATTATCGTGAAATATATACTTACTTTGCATCTGTTTGCTTTCCTTATTTGCTTCTCGGAATATAAAGCTATTTTCGTTTGATTTTACTATTTCATCTCTCTCTGTCACTCTTGTTTTCTTTCTCTCTTTCCCCACTCTCTCCTCTCAACCCCTCCAATTTTCTCAAACACATTCTCTTTTCCACTACCATCCTCATCAAAAATTTACCATAAAATATATGTATAATTTTGTGAAGCTTTGTAGTGACGATGATCACAGGTACCTTTTATATGGAGGTACATTTTCCTCGCTTTGAGCAGAACAGAATGACGAAAATCTTTCTTTGGGTGGTAAGTAAAGTAACCTGATGGTTGCCCTCTAACTTCGTCATCGCAAGAAATTGATCTCTCACTATACTAAACATAAAAAGAAAAAAAAACCAGCGTAGAGATGGTCTCATTATGACATAACGTTTTATTTCAGAAATTAAGCTGCTTTCTAAAAGAAAGCATTCCTCTATAGAATCTACTATAGTAGCACTACGCAATTTCGATCGTCCATCTTTCTAATAATTCGTAACAAATGGTCAGTCTCTACAAATTGATACTTGCTGTTGCAATCAATTACAGACGACTTGTTCGTTGATTTGATAATGGAAACGTAACAATGACAGTGTGCGTTTCGCGGAGCCTAGTTGAAACGGAATTTTTTATAAGCAAACGACTATGGATCTATATCCCGAGTGAAGTGAATTTTACTGTTGTAATGTGACGATCCTACACGAGACGCGAGATGGACAATCCCGACAAGTTCTTTCGAGAATCGCATTATAATATCGTGCGGGTTCTTTTGAGTCTGAGCGGTCTATGGCCCTTTGATAGCAAAGCCACTCGTTACGCAATTTATTGCGGGTACCTATTAGTAGCCGGATCTGGTTTCACGTTCCAGGTACAGAGAGAAGACGTGCCTTGTTATCGAGAGATATCAAGTATATCATTTTGCATGTCGCGTGTTCGTTTCCATTGGCTAACGGAAAGTTACGGCAAAGTTACATTACAGTTAGAGCTACGAACGGAAAACAGTAAGACTTGCTCTCCAATCTTTTGAAGTGAAAAGTGGCATTATTTTTTCATTCAAGATGATAATAAAAATTCACTTTGTAAGAGTGACCGTCCAAAAGAGACAACAGAAATGTAAAAAAAGCGCTAAGTATGTCTCTTCCACTAAAAAAAAAGTTTAGTTTAAAAATGTTCATAAAAAAATCGATACAAAAAATATAATTATCGGAAAAGAAACTTTAATCAATAGCGTTGAGAAGAAATACAACAAACTTTGCAAAATTTAAAACAATATTATAAAAAAGTCGTGAAATCACTAAAAAGGTCAAGTATACAGGACATTCTACTCTTCACTGCTGCATTGTTTTTATATAATAAAGAGATTTAAAAAAGTTTAAAAATAAAATTAAAAATAATTAAAAAATAAAAATTAAATAAAAATAAAATTAAGATTTATTAAGATGGAAACACTTGGCGTGCCCTTCTTTAACTTCTCTTTTAATGCATCTAATGTGTATCTAAGGTGTATTAAAACAAAAGTAAAAAAATGGCAGGCCAAGTGTTTTTGTCTAAATTTTAATTTTATTTTTCATTATATCCCACATAAATCCATACACACCTTGTATAATAGAATAAGAAATCAATATTCACGTTCCATTCAAGTTTAATCAACTGTACGGATCAGTAATGAAACGCGCGAATGTAATCTGTGGTGAATTTAGGTGATGGGTATGCTCGAGGTTCGGTCGGACATTGCCGAGGTGATTGATTTTGCACCATTCGGGATTCACATTACGCTCATTGCAACGAAAGCGGCCTGCATTGCGTGTACTTTACCCAAGGTGTGTAAGTTAAAACGGTACGGGCCGATAATCGATGTGATTAATTGATTAATCGATATAATTACGCGTCAACCGATAAGATACGCCTATATGTCCGTAAGATCGGGAGGTGAAAGAAGGAACAATGCGCTCACAATTGGAGTAACTTAAAATTATAGGTCAAGATCCTGGTGATGAAAATGAAAGAGCATTGGACTTCCCCGAAGACGGAAGAAGAGGCTACAATTCTGCGTGCCTATGCAACATATGGCCAAAAGTTTGGCTACGTGTACACAGGTAAATGTATCGACTAAATGTGACTGAAACGTGAGTTTACTACTGCTACTGAATGCAATCGATTTCAAATTAAGTCAATTGAAATGTTCGGTCAAAAGTTAAAGTCAGTGAAAAGTGAAGCATTTTCTTCTTGAACCGCAGTCAACTTTTATAGCAAAGTGAAACTTAAGTAATACATGTAAAGCTTCTACAGTACATGAATGCTGCCTTTCGTCGACGACAAATATCAGACAATGATGGCGATAACTTGGTCAACGAATTATTGAATGCAATAATGGATAAATTCAAGTTTCTCTGTAAAATCTAAAAAAACCTCTTGACTGACAGTTCAAGAAGTTTCAGCCGGACTTTTCGACTGATGCAATTAATCTAATGTATTTGGTGCCCAACCAGTTATTTTGTTTGGACATTCCACCCTTTATCTAATTGAGAGTCTGGTGGGGAAGTTGACGTACGTTGAGTCGAACGTGGAAACAAATGGGACGATAATATTGGAAACAAATGGGACAAGTGAAACATTAGACGTCCCAGTTCCAGTGGGTTTACCTTTACGCGTTAATTACATGGTCGACGTAGACACGTATTACATCCCAATTTACATACACACGGTATTGGCCGAAATGGTGTACTCACTATTAATGTGCGCAGTCGATGTCTTATATTTGACATCTGTTCAATATTACTGCGGCCTGCTCGCAGCTTTGAGGTAAAAGTCTACGTGATTTCCCCAACGAGACTGAGAAATAAAAGTGTGGCCAATTATTGGTTGAAGATTAGCTACCGCGTCGATAAAAATGTTAAGATCAATTTTCTTTTTCCGGATAACATCGTGGCTTAGGTGCATCATGGAAAATGCGCATAATTTGAAAGACGGTGTCGATGATCTGTTAGAGCACGTCACGAAGAATGGTAAATCTTACTCCATTGTCTCTTACAGCATTCGAAGACACACCGAGGCAATACAGTTAGTACATGCTATCACTTATTACTTATTACGGCTGGTAACACGTGTGGGAAAACTTTCTAAAAGTAACTCGTCGCCGTCTCTCGTTACGTATTTGGAAAAATGACTCACTGCCTTTACCGTTGCTCGTCTCGAAAAATGATTCAAAAAGTTATGAGTCGTTATAATTTTCGTTACACATTTTATAAAATTATGAAGATCTTTTCTTTACAAAATGTTGTTGCCCATACATGTATATGTACAATTATATCCATTACTATTACATAAAAAATAAACATAATAGCTGTTATCGTTAATGAAGAAATTAATGAAGAAATTAAGCCATCCCTTATCTGTTATTGAGAAAAAGTAATTTGTAATAATGTTACAAATGACGTATTACTTCCCAGTCTTAGTAATAGATAAATAGTAAATACGTGATGAATTAATACACTTTTACATGTTATGGCAGATATATTGAAATCCTGGAGTCATTGTATAGGCTACCTCTTCTTTTGCATATGGGTTGTGACATGTTGATGATAAGTATTCTAGGATTTCAGGTGCATATTGAAAAGCGTACGGTAATAATTGTCCAGTGATCTGAATCAAATGATATATCTCCTTGCAGGCGCTAGTAAATATCGACGACCCGAATCGCTTTTCACAAAATTGTGTTTACCTTAGCGAGACTCTTCTTAATATGTTTTTCGAGAACTGGCAAGGTCAGAAAATCATAGATTCCAACGAAAAGTTGTACCATTCCATGTACGTTTCATAGAATACCATATATACGTTTCTAAAATCACAAAAATTGCAGAATCGGTAAAACTGAGTTCCCGGCGCACAAGTGTCGGATGCATCTCATAACATATGAAATAACAATAATCTGTTGCATTGACAGATATAACATGAAATGGTATGAAATGTCGCTTGCGGCGAAAAAGCTAGTAATCTTAATCATGTTGAGAAGCTTAAGACCGATGCAGATAACGGCCGGCAAGTTCATCGTGATGTCGTACGAGAATTTCAGTGCGGTGAGTGCAATTCTATTCTGTGAAAATCCACGTACAAGCTTATTTTTTATTGTGCAATTTTTGCTTTCAGGTAATACGAATGTCCTCGTCATATTTTATGCTGCTGCGATCTACGCAAACTGTGTAAAATATTTTTAGAAAATTCATGATTATCGAATTTTACAGTTGGCTGAATTAGTAGAAAATAGATATCCACCGATCGCTTGATTTGTAAATTCTAGGTGAATTTCATATGTAAATAAATAAAACGTGAGAAAAGAAGTTGTATAAATAGTATTTGACTTGCAAATAATCTTTTACAGTTAGGTTTTCCTGTCATGTGGAAAAATTCTTATAAAAAATTTGACAATGCCGTTTTCTGATTGAGGAAAATTACACAAATGTGTGTATGTGTGGCGTGTGTGTAAATGTGTGTGTGCGCGCGTATGTGTGTACACATTCTAACAATACCCACAAATAATTTCAAGAAACTGGACTTTTGTCAGTAATGGAAAAAACATTAGGAAAGGCTACTGATTGTTTGCGATAACTTATGCACATGATCATACTATCGTGAAATATATACTTACTTAATAATCATTATTTGTCTTTTTCAGAGTATAAAGCAACTTTTGATTGCTTTACAGTTTTATCTTTCTCTATCTCTCTTGCTATCTCTCTCTCTCTCTCTCTCTCTCTCTCTCTCTCTCTCTCTCTCTCTCTCTCTCTCTCTCTCTTCTTCCGTACTCTTTCCTCTAATCTTCTCTAACTTTCTCAAACATTCTTTTCCATTTTCTTATCCGAAATCTACTGTAAAATATATGTATGATTTTGTGGAGCTTTATAGTGAGGATGACCACAGGTAGCTTTCATATGGAGGTATATTTTCCTCGCTTTTGAGCGGAACAAGATGATGAAAATCTTTCTTAGCGGTGGTAAGTAAAGTAGCCTGCTGGTTGCACCAAAACTTCGTCATCGTAAGAAATCGACTTCTCACTATACTAGTATAAGAAGAAACAAACCAGCATAGAGCTGTCTCTTTGTAACATAACGTTTTATTTCAGAAATTTTCCATTAAAACCACTTTCTAAGAGAATCCTCTATAGAATCTATTACAGTAGCACTGCGCAATTTCGACTGTGCAGCTTTCTACTAGTAATTTGTAAGAAACGACCTGTCTCTACAAATTGATGCTTACTGTTGCGATCGATCTTAGACGACTTATTTTTCCGGTTTGATGATGAAAACGTAACAATGACAGTGTGCGTTTTGCTGAGCCTAGTTGAAACGGAATTTTTCATAAGCAAATGACGTAGATCTATACCCCGAGTGAAGTGAATTTTACTGTTGTAAAGTGACGACTCTAGACGAGACGCGAGATGGATAGTGCCGACAAGTTCTTTCGGGAGTCACATTACAATATTCTCCGCCTTTTACTAAGTATCAGCGGCCTATGGCCGTTTCATAGCACGAACAAACGCTATGCAGTTTACTTCTTATGTTTACTAGTACTCGGATCTGGATTAACATTCCAGGTATAAGTGCTTTAGACATGTACTGAGAAAAAAGTAAATCTGAATATTTATTTGTGAAATATCAAATTTATTTCTACGATATAAAGCTTACTTTCGTGAAATAAAGTTTATTTCACAAATAAATTTTTCTGTATTTTTTCTCAGTTTATCTCGCTATCGCGAAACGCATACTGTAACCTCGAACAATCAATTGCATTATTCAGTGGAAAGTCTAAAAGATTATGTGTGTTCCGCTATACTGAGAAAGAAGACATGAAAATTTATTGGTGAGATATAAAGTTTATTTATAAAAAGAAATTAGTTTATTCATAATTAACTTTAAAATTTTTTCATAATTAGTTAATTCATAAATAATTAGTTTATTCATAATTAATTTAAAAAAATTAAGTTTATTTATAAAAATAAATTTTATTTCGCATGAATAAACTTTATTGCACAGAAATACTTTATCACAATAATTTTCTCACAAATAATTTTCAAGTATTTTTCTCAGTATATTGGTTAAATTAATCGTGTTATTGCTATCTAGTATGATAATATTCGTTTGCGTGATGGTGTTCGCGTGCGTTTTCAACAGAACTGCATCATTCTATCAGATCAATGCGCTACAACGGAATACAAAATTTATGTATCTCGCCGAATTATTTAACTAATCGCATCGAGATTTATCGCGAAACAATAAAATCATGTAGTGCAATTACATAGAATACAATTTCGATAAGTTTAGGTGTTGGGTATAATCGAAGTTTGGCCGAATTCCTTCGAAGTGCTCGATTGCATACCTGTGTTACTTTATGGTGTAATTCCTATGATAAAAGCGATCTGCTTGGTATATACTTTACCCAAGGTGTGTAAATGAGAATGACGTTAGGTATATTAATTGATGTGATTATACGCGAAATTCGAGAAACGATGAAGTGATGTGCGATTTTATTTACTATTAAATTGACTTCGAGCTGCAGATTAAAATTCTCCTGACCAAAATAAAAGACCACTGGATCGCTCCGAAGTTGGACGAAGAGACTAAAATTCTTCGGTCTTATGCGATCTATGGAGAAAATTTCGGCCATCTGTACACGTGTGAGTATACGTGATTAGGGCGGATAAAAACGGAGATATGTCATTCTCTGACGCAGGGTTCTTAAGTATCTTAAGGGAATCTTAAGGGACTTAATGTATTCGTAACCACACGGTTAACCTCACGGAGAGGAAAGTTTGATTGAATTAACGTGGCAATGAACGCATCAAGCACTCTCTGGTTGTAGAAAACAGAATTTTTGGTTCTTAGGAATCAAATTCGATTCTAAGAAACGAAAGTTCGGTTTTGTGCAATCAAACGCATTTGGCTTCTACACTGTCACGTTAATACTACCAATCTTCTTTCTCCGTGAAGATTTCTATCTTGGCCATTCCGTCTTGTTTCTGTCCGTGACACTGCTGAGCAAATTCTTGTCCGTACAATCCAGTGAGGAATCCGACGCACTGAATGAAGTTCAAGGCGCTCAAAAGGGAATGCCTTATCGCGTAAACTACATTGTCGATCTAAACACATATTATGTTCCGATTTTTCTACACACGGCCACGTGCGAAGTATACTATCTGCTATTAATTGTCTGTCAAGACGTCTTGTACATGACACTTGTGCAACATTGCTGCGGTCTGCTCGCAGCTTTGCGGTAAGAACAATCTTCTTCAAAACTGGAAACTTAATGACTTTTTCTAGTGATAAATTTTCGTATCGGCAAAAAATTATTTGTTTCATGCCCGAATAATTTAAACCTTAGATATCTCTTGGCAAATACGCTTCAATTTAAGGACAATGTCGATGATCCAACAAGGATAGTTGCCAAGTACAATTGTTGTGCAAACGACAAATATTACGCGAGTATCGTTTACAGCATTCGAAGACACGCCGAGGCAATACAGTCAGTGGATTCAATTATTTGTTACTTTTATGGATATATAAAGTATTTGACAATTATTTACACATCCCGTTATCCGGTCCGTGTGCAGATAGATCTCATTAAACTGAACACAAACTTTCTTTACCATTTCGCAAACAACCAGGGAGATTCTGAGTTATTAATTAACGAAGATTAATGAATGATCATATGTGATACAGTGGATGAGTTGTGACAGCGACGTCTACTGTCGTCTGCTTGTACATTAACTCAAATTGAACAAAAAAGTCTTCCACCATTTTGTAAATGACTACGTGAATTTTTAGCTATTAATTAAAAAAAAGATTAAAGATGAGTGCAGAAATGTGTGCGATAATACACCAATCTTCTTTAACTAATAAGAAAATATTGCATTTTTTTAGTTATTTTAATATCATTTTGACGTCATCGCAATTCTTTTTCCATCTAAGTCTCCTGTGAGAGAGATGTCTTTCACCAATTTCCTCTTGAATTAATAACTCAGAATTTTGCGTGGTTGTTTGCGAAGTGGTAGAGTTTTGTACTCAGTTTAATGAATTCTACTTGCACACAACGGTTAATAATAAATTGTCAATAATTGTCAGAGATTCTAGTATACGTGCATAGTAATACGTGTAATAATAAGTTGATATACATTCCTATTTATTGCGACAGATTCATTGATATCCTGGAATCGATATATAGATTACCTCTCTTTCTACATGTAGGTTATATTGTTGTCCTCTTAAGCATCGTAGGATATCAGGTGCATCAAAAGTGTATCAAGTATACAAAGTATAAATAAATGTTCAACCGCCTCAATTGCGTTATGTACCACTTTTTCCAGGTGATAACGTATGCCAAAGACACGAGTCGCCTTACACAGTGCGCTATTTATTTCAATGCGGGTGTCATTAACGCGTTTTTTCAGAACTGGCAGGGTCAGAAGATTATAGATTACAGCGAAAAGGTGTACGAATACGCGTATGTTTAATGCAATATTAGAAGCACGTTTTTCGAAATTGCAAAACTCTTCTATATTGTCAAGATAACGAAATAAAATACACCATGGTAAAATAGAATGTAATAATGTCTTGTCGCGTAGCGATTACACGAGCAGTTTAATATACAAAACGGTTTAACATTAGTCTGTTACACTTGCAGATATAACGTCCCATGGTACGACATGCCGAACGCGACGAAGAAACTCGTAATATTAATTATGCTGAGAAGCATAAAACCATCTCAAATAACGGCCGGCAAGTTTCTCGTGATGTCGTTCCAAAGTTTCAACGCGGTGAGTGCATGATTCCGTAGCATGTAAATGCAAGCACGTGTGTGCAAGTTCTTTCCTCACAAAACGTATAAATCTTAATTTAAGATAATGCGGATATCGTCGTCATATTTTATGCTACTACGGTCTGTGCAGTGAAAGTTTTTGGAGCATGATTTAATGATTAATTCAATCGATAGAAAATAGATGTGCTTCGAACAAATGTTTTGTATATCTTAGAAGAATTTTGCTATATAATTAAATAAAACCGAAAAGTTATACAAGAGAGTGACATGCTTCATTTTTTAATAATTTCTACATACCACGACAGATATTTTCCTTTTCATATAACAAATATGACGATATTTTCTAATTGATGGTATTGTATGTATGTATGCTGTAATAGTGGACAAAGCAAGCTCTAAAACAATGTATTTGCATTAACTATAAAAAGAAAAACCGTCTATACCTCAAGAACCATTTATTGTTTTCGATAAATCGTATGACTGACATCCGTAAAATATAGATATTTTAAAAGACCTTTATAGTAGACAACCACGTGTGCTTTACATATAAAAGATATACTTCCCTTGCAAACCGAGTAACATCGAAAACCTCTCTGCAAGGCGCCAAGGAAAGTATCACGAATAGAACGTTTTACCGTGCGAGATTTTGATTTTCCAGTAAAACCAGCACAAGAAAAAAAGCTATCGTACATTTTAGTCGTATAAAAGAACGAGAAACAGTCGTATAAAAGTCGTATATTTGTAGGGTGATGTCTTATAGCGGTAATTTGCAATTTAAACTATCTCCTACATGAGAGTCTCTTATGGTCTACCAAAGTACTACCGTGCAACTTCAGCCGTGTAGTTCCTGAAATTCCTGATTTATAAAAAATGGTCTACCTGCAAACAGACTCTTATAATATTACCATCGATCGCGCCGGTGGTTTGGTAATGCAGACGTAACAGCGACTGCATGTATCTCGCGGGCCACGAAGGCCAAAGTTGAAACAGAATTTATGATAAGCGATACCAATGTTATCTATAGTCCTGGATAAAAATGAATTTCACTGTTGCAAAGCGTCCACGCTAGACACGACGTAAGATGGATAATGCCGACGAGTTCTTTCGGGAATCGCATTACAATATTATTCGCGTTCTACTGGGTCTCTGCGGTTTATGGCCTTTTCATAGCGTAGTCAAACGCTGTGCGATTTACCTCGGATTCTTGCTCGTAGTCGGATCTGGATTGACGTTCCAGGTACACGCGATTGACGTGTCTTGCTGTCTACTATATTAGCTGTCGCGCAGTATCACGCTTACTGCTCGCGATGTTTCTTTCTTTTTATATTATCTAATGGAAAGAGTGAGAGATTAAACGTTACTCGTGTTGAGAGTTAATTGTTGCTTTGGTGTTTTGCACGGAACAATGTACGTTTACGGTGTATGCGTGCATTTTCAACGCGACCCCATTTCTCACCATCCGCCTGTAAAAGAAGAGAAAATACACGTGTCACCTATAGAGCTGTTTAGTCAACCGCGTCAATTTGTCACCAACTGTGCGTACAATGTTATTGTCGTGAATTCAGGTAATGGGTATAATCGATGTTTGGTCAGATTCGTTCCAAGTGCTCGATTGCTTACCGTTGTTAATTTATTCTATGGGCCCCGTAATGAAGGTGGTCTGCATGATATATAGCATACCTAAGGTGCGTAAATAAGAATGGCGTTGACCATATTAGTCGATGTGATTACGTTGAGATCGGCGAGTGACTTTCCTTTTTTGCTTTTACTATTAAATTGACTTCGAGCTGCAGATCAAGATTCTCCTGATCAAAATGAAGAAACATTGGTATTCTCCAAAGTCCGACAAAGAGACGAAAATTCTCCAATCTTATGCAGTCTATGGGAAAAAGTTTGGTTACGCGTACACGAGTGAGTACACATTGGCCAATAACAATTGAGATTTGTTATTTTCTGTGCAAGTAATTTCGAGTGAAACATAGCTTAACTCATTCTGATAATTAGTTATTTTGTTTGGTCATTCTATCTTTTACCTATTCTCGACTCTGTTGACCAAACTCTTGACTGCGCAATCTAATGAGAATTCCGACATGTCGAGTAAAGTTCGAGACGCTCAAAAGGGAGTACCTTATCGTGTTAATTACATGGTCGATCTGGACACGTATTATATCCCGATTTTCTTACATATAATCACATGCGAAATATTATATATGTTATTAATTGTCTCACAAGACGTCTTATATCTGACGTTTGTGCAATATTGTTGCGGTCTGCTCGCAACATTGAGGTGAGAGCATTCTCTTTCGAAACTGAAAACTTGAAGCGTGACATTTGCTGATTAACCCTAGAACCCTAAACATAGATAAAATTTGCCCAGACCAACTTTTACCGTTCTTAAAATCACGTCTTTTCATTATAACTTCTTCCAACTTTATCCAATCGCGAAAACGTTAATAGACTTATATTCCTCGATGTTTTCTACACCGATTAAAAAAAAAACATTGAATTTTGACCATTTTTGCGGAGTTACGAGCAAACGAAGACTGGTTAAAATTTACTCATGTTTAGGATTTACGTAAATTTTGGACGTTTAGGCTTTTAGAGGGTTAAAAGTGAATGCTCGCCCTGTCAAAAGTCGAAATTAACCTTCTCGAATAATATCGCGCCTTAGGTATCTCTTGGAAGATACGTTCGCATTTCAAGACAATGACGACGATACAACAAAGAGAGTTGCACGCGAAAGTCGATGTTACGCGAACGTCGTTTACAGTATTCGAAGACACACCGAGGCGATACAGTTAGTACATTCGTTTAATCGTTGGATTTTTATGAGCAATATCACGCAACGACGAATTAATATGTTCTTGCTTATTACGACAGATTTATAAATATCATGGAGTCGTTATTTCGGCTACCTCTCTTTCTACATATGGGTTGTATCATCTCCGTCATAAGCGTCGTAGGATTCCAGGTAGCATTCGTAGAGTACGACAGATATCCAGTGATCGCAATTACACTGGATACTTCTTTTTCCAGGTAATAACAAACGCCGAAGACATGACCATCCTTGCGCGGCACGGCATTTATTTTTGCGGGGCTGTAATCAACGCGTTTTTTGAGAATTGGCAAGGTCAGAAAATCATCGATTACAGCGAGAAGGTGTACGAATACGCGTACGTTTGAGACAATTTCAGAAGCACGTTTTCAAAGTTGCAAGTAACATTGCTGATTATTAAGATAGCAAAGTCAAATACACCGGCAAAGTATCAGGTTGGTCAAAAAGTTTGGCTCGTTTCTTGACAAATGGCGTCACACAGTGTAATGTGTAAGTGCTAATAATGTTCTACTGAAACGTCATAGACAACGGCTTTGATTACTGGACGAATGATTTGTTTCTTTAGAATGAAATAATACTCAAATTTGACTCAAAATCCGAGCACAACTTTCTGACAGATCGAATTGATTTCTTGCACTGCGATTATTCGAGAGAAATCCGATATCGTGTGAAACAGTTAATAACGTCAGCAATATCGCGCTTGCAGTTATAATACGCAATGGTACGACATGCCGAATGCAACGAAGAAACTTCTAATATTGATCATGTTAAGGAGCATAAAGCCATCGCAAATAACGGCCGGTAAATTCATCGTGATGTCGTATGTGAATTTCAACGCGGTAAGTGCAATTGTTTCATACGTATTGGAGGCTTTCAAAAGTTCCTCAGATCGTCGATAACTGGTTCAAAATATGTAAATCACTTTACAATTAGCAAGCCAACCAATTATCTGAAAAGTGAAAGAAAATAGCAAACAGTTCAATTGAATATTATGGTACATTGCTATTCTGTTTTTATATTACTAAAGGAAATAAATCTAAAAAGAAACGAACTTTTGCAAACGTTTAATATATACTGGCTCGTGTATTTCTGTGTGCGCGCACAAACTTTTGCTCATAAAATCTGTAAAATTTCTTTCAAGGTAATGCGAGCATCGTCATCGTACTTTATGTTACTACAATCCATGCAATAAATAATTTCGGATGTAAGGTGTCTATCACATAGAATATGTCTATTACGATTCAACAACAATTAGCTCATGTATTAGAAAATATTTATAGCGTTATCAACGCATGATTTGTGCTCCCAAATAAATTTTCTATATCAATAAACAAAAATATAAACCAGTCAACATGTGTGTGTATATGTGTGACAATGTATACATGTATATATATGTGTGTGTGTATATATCTGTCGTTTCTAAACAAATTTTAGATGAACACATTATGCTGTTTATCGTTTGAATATTTCAATCGCGAATTTTGATTGCATCATATCGCGCGTGCATAAATATGTAGTAGTGCATAAAAATAATATTAAAAGTGTCAGCAATTGAATGTATGTCAGGAATTTTAATAATTTCCAAAAAATTTTTGCGTATAATTAATCTCCGCAAAATATCGCATAATAGCGTTTCAACGAAAACGTGCAACGAATGATCGTACATTCGCTTAGGACACAAAGAGAACGGAAAAATTTTAAAAATCATTAAATCAAAGAAACTTCAAAAAATCTTGATTGGCAACGCTTTGTAAAATAGACCGAATTTCGCTATCATCAGAGGACTTCTTCACATTTTTCGCTATCGACAATGGGTTTCTACTTTCCACTGCTACCTCAGCATAAGAAGTAATCATTACAAAACCGTACGTTCGTACGGTATTTTTAAGCACGATATTTTTTTGCCTGTGATTTGCAAATTAAATGATTTTCTGGTGGGGACTTCTATAGAGTCCGTCAAAGCACTACACCGTTTAAATTTCTGCCAGACAACTTGCGCTCTAATTTGCCGCAGCTAGTGCGGGCTACAGCAGATGCCGTGTCATCGATCACAAAATGACTGGTTTCGTCTAGCGCCAGCCCTCATGGCCACTCGCGGGTGTACATCGCGGCCCTCGGCAGGCAATCGACGTTAAAACGGAATTTTTCATAAGCGGCTGATGTGAGCCGCGTGCCTCTCTCGAGCTAAACGAATTTCACTGCTGCGAAGCAACAGCGACAGGCACAAGAGGGAAGATGGATAGTGTCGATAAGTTCTTTCAAGAGTCGTATTACAATATTATTCGCGCTCAGCTAAGTTTCATTGGCGTGTGGCCCTTTGACAGCGTAACTAAACGATACACGATTTGCTTCGGATTCTTATTGCTACTCGCATCTGGAGTAACGTTCGAGGTATAGTAACGTACGAGGAAGAGCGTTTCAATTCTCACTTATACGCAGTAACTTACAACGCTTTTCTTTGTGTCAAGATATCTTCAAAATTGAATGTTACACTCATTAGAACCTGATCGTCCATGTTATTTTGCATTTCCCGTATTTGTGTATAAATACGCTATTCGCACTTTAACACGATGTTTGCCATGAGGATGATCGTTTATTATCACTGTGATACTAACGTGTGTTGATTTACATATAAAACATAACTAATCGCACACAGCAAATTGAATATACTGCCAACAAAGAGTTGATGAAAATAAGTTAACAAATATAGGGTACACTCTTTGTTTACAGAGATTATATATCTATTGTTATCTCAGATGTTGAGAGAATTAGATGTCTCTACTATTCCAACGAGTAATTGAAAAAGCTGTACGGGGGACTCGGAAAAAGCTTGTGAATCGTTTACATAAAGCTTTTTCAATTACTCGTTGGAATGATAGAGACATTTATCTCTTAACATCTAAAGTAGCAATATTATGTGGACACGTAACACAAATAGTTCCGATCTCCCCTATGCATTATTGAATCGCATTTATTTACTTAGTTTGAGTAACTCAAATTTTAATTAAGTTATGAAATAATTAACAGAATTCAGCACGGTCAATGTGTTAACTTTCCGTTAGTCGCGGGTTTTTGTGGAACAAGAATAGAGATTTCATTAAGCGTTTTATTTAACGTTTACGCTTACGTTAAAGTTTACGTTTTATTAATTAGAAAGAAATCACAACACTTTTAGGAAGCACAGAGTGTACCATTTTTCACAATTTTAAGTATACTTTTATGGGAAAATAGGAAAAATATGGCATGTATTACTCTAACCTCTATTTTGTGCCATACCAAAACCAAGTTGCTCAGATACTCGCGACTACTGAAAGATGCATCTTCTGCTTTACGCGATTAGTTAGTCGATAATGGAGAGAGAAAAGTGCGAGATTGATACATGTCATGTAAAGTTAGTTAATCAAACGTGCATGGATTCGTGTCGAAAAAGGTAATGTAATCCGTAATGAATTTAGGTATTGGGTATGATTGACGTTCGGACAAATACGTTTGAAGTGATCGACTGCTTACCGTCGTTAGTTCTAAGTGTGCTCACCACATCTAAAGTGATCTGTTTGGCATGCGCGTTACCCAAGGTGCGTAAATCAGGATAATATTAACCCTCTGCTAACAACGTTGGGGTCAGATCTGACCCCAGGCAGACGTTGCTGGATATGTTCCGCAACTTCACGTTGTCAGCAGAGGGTCAATCGATGCGATTGCTCCAAAATACAAAGATAATTAACAAGTAAACCTACCCAAAAATTACACTCCGATTTCTTTCTAATTTTGTACAAATGTAGAAGTACAACAAATATTTAGGTCATATTTTTTCATTTTGGCCCACTTTGAGTTGAAAAGTTTAAAAAATATTATTTATACAAATAATTTGTCGGTTTGGCGGAGATTCGAATTACTTTTGACTGATTTAACATAAATTGAAATATTTCGGTTGGAATCTCAGTTAAAGGAATTTAGAATGATTCGTGTCTCAGCTATGCCGATTTTGTTAAAATTATTTAACTATATTTTGTATTCAATTTTATTTCTCATGCATTTTTGTTGTATATAAATAATTTCTCAGTTTGGCCGAGATTCGAAGCACTTTTGACTGATTTAGCACAGATTTAAAATATTTTTGTTGGAATCTCGGCTAAAGGAATTAAAATGGTTCGTGTCTCAGCTATGCCGATATTGTTAAAATTTTAATTAAAATTGCCGAATTTCTCTCTCTCTCGGTTTATCCAAGATTCAAACAATTTTTGACTAATTTAATACACAGATTTACAATATTTCGATTGGAATCTCGGTTAAAGAAATTTAGAATGATTTGTGTCTCAGCTATACCGATTTTGTTAAAATTATTTAACTATATCTTGTATTTAATTTTTATTTCTTATGCATTTTTGTTGTACTTGTTAATAATAGAAAATTAAAAAGCTATAAACTGTCCGTGAAATTCAGTAGGCCAAAATGAAAAAATATGACCTAAAATATGACTTAAATATTTTTTGTACTACATTTGTGCCAAATTAGAAAGAAATCAAGAGTGTACCTTTTGAGTAGGTTTACTTGTAAGTCGCGCGTAATTGTACTCATTATTGGATTGATTCTGAGCTACAGATCAAGTATCTTCTGATTGAAATGGAAAAATATTGGTGTTCCCTAAAATCGGACGGTGAGACGAAAATTTTGCATTCCTACGCGATATATGGACGCAAGTTCGGCTTCGCGTATACAGGTGAGTGGTGCACATAGTTCAAGTGCAATGAGAACATAAATATTTGGATACTGTCTGCACGAATGTTCGCAAATACTTAATTATTAATTATAACTAACGTTGCTCAACGAATTTGTATATTAATCAGTCGTATTACTCGGTCATTCCGTCCTTTTTCTGTCCGCAACTCTGTTGAGCAAGTTTATCCGCATAAAATCCAACGAGGGATCAAACGACTCGACAAATTCCGTGGGCGCCCAAGCAGGTGTACCATATCGCGTTAATTACTTGGTTGACCTGGACACTTATTACGCACCAATTTTCATACACACGGCCATGTGCGAAGCGACGTATGTGTTCTTTTTAGTCGTGGTTGATGTTTTGTACATGACATTTGTGCAACATTGTTGCGGTCTACTCGAGGCTTTGAGGTAAGAACCAATACAGAATAAGATTGAGCTTTCTCGAAGATGCTCGTTTCTAAGTCAGTGGTCGGCTTTTTGCGCTACTTAATGTCAAAATCGCAGTTTCCTTATTTTCGGATAAAATGTTATCTCAGATATGTTTTGGAAAATTCATGCGAATTTGAGGGCAATGTCGACGGCATGATTTCGACACTCAAGCACCCATCAAGAGACAGTAGGATTTACTCAATTGTCTCTTACAGCATTCGAAGACATTCTGAGGCGATACAGTTAGTATATTCGACTGTTCGTCATTTTTAGAAATAGTTGTAATAATAATATGTATATTAAGAAAAAAATATCTAAAAATTTACAAATATTTATTAAGTGGGTATCATTTACTTAAATCAAAATTCTTTTCATTTAAATTGAGTATTGTTTACTTAAACCAAGTTAATTTTTAGATATTTTTTCCTCGGTGTAGATAATACACGGAAATTTCAATTCCAAAAGGAGACCAGACGAAAAAATCGCTGGTGAGAAACTATCTCTGTTAGAATGACTGAAAACATTCGTCTGAACATTAAGTTGTATTAAAAATCGGTTGAGATAAATGAGAGCGATTGGCTGCGTAGAAACCTCCTGCAGCAATCTTTCTGTTCCCACAAGCGAACTTTTTATCTGATCCTTGAGCAACAAAAAATTCACTTACAATAACAGACATGTTTTTTACGTGTAATAATAAGTTAAGATGTTTTTATTTATTACGACAGATTCATTGATAGCCTAGAGTCGTTATTCAGGCTACCTCTCTTCATACACATGGGCTGTGTGATATCCATTATAACCACCGTTGGAATTCAGGTACATTTTAAATATACGCTCAATAAATATAAATGCACGGAAGAAAAACTTCAGTTCGGCTAACTGAATGGGAAGACCAGACAAAAAACTCGCTGACGAGAAACAATATTCTTCTCACAAAGCAAAGAACAATATTTGACTCTCATTTGCCTTTTATTCTTCTTGCATCGAACGAAAAATATTCCTGTTACTGTGACCAAAAACATTCGTCGGAAGGCTTAGATAATAAGTCCCACTTTACAACAAGTGTTTTAAACCCTGAGCTTTATGCTTTAAGCTCTAAACTGTGATGTATTTCCGGCCTTAAATATTTCTGTGCTACCCCAAGCCTCAATTTCTAAGCCTTCAGCGAGTTGGTTTACTCCCATCTTTTAGAGCTTAGGACTTGAGGCTTAGAATTACCGATGTAATTTCTCCATCATAAGGCTTAAAATGCCTATTGTAAAATGGGATTTAATCCTGTTGATACCAATTTTGTTTTTTAAAAATTTTTCACTTCATTAATATATAATATAGTTTCAGCAAAAAAATTAAAAGTTTTATAACTTAAATGTAAATTTTTAGGCAAATAAAAGCAAAATGCTGATGTTGGAGCGAATATTTTGGGGGAAAATGATGGAAGTAATGTTTGACAATATTAAAGAACGTGCCGGATAGGTTTTCCAATATTTTATAATGTACGCGGTCAACCTATTACATCAAATCGATCCTAAACCCCAATCCTTAATATTAATATTAATTAACTTCTCCTAGTCACACTGAGATTATGCATTTTTTGACTTGTAATTATAGTTGCGAAAAATATCGTCTCAGCGAATCTGGCTTATTATTTTATTTATTATTCTTTCAACATTTAATAAGATATTCGTTTCAACATCAGCGTTTTGCTTTTACTTATGTTGTATACTTCGAGAGCGTATACATAAAAGTTTGATGTTTGGCGCTAAAAAGATAGAGGCGGAAGTTTTTGGGAGGGCATATTTGTTGCAACAGTAATAAATAGAGTGATAGCTAATATGTTCCAAGTAGCAAAGAAGCTAATATTGAACAAGTTTATTATTATGGTAGGAAAAAAGGATGTCCCATTAGTAGAGCAAAAGGTTAGAATCAATGAGATAACCGAGAACGATAGGCTGAGTAGAAACCTCCTATGGGAGTCCTTTTGTTACTACAGCCGAGTTTTTCATCTGGTTCCCGAGTAAAGGGAAAATTCAGTTACACCAACGGATAGCGTTTAATGATTCCAACGAGATAGTGTGCTTCTCTTTCCAGGTGATAATAAACACGGCGAACATAAGTCGCGTGTTACAACACTCCGTTTATTTTAGCGGGGCTATCATCAACGCGTTCTTTGAGAACTGGCAAGGTCAGAAAATCATAGATTACAGCGAAAAGGTGTACGAGTCCGCGTACGTTTACTGCAATATCGGCTGCACACTTCTAAAATCGTGGATTAGTTCAAATTGACTGTTCGCAGCACATCGATTATTCGACGAACTCGAACGTTGTATGAAGCAATCGGTGATATTAGCTCGTTACACTTACAGATACAACGCGCAATGGTACAAGATGCCGATTGCGGCGAGGAAACTCCTAATAATGATCATGTTAAGGAGTATAAAACCGTCGCAGGTAACTGCCGGCAAAATCATTGTAATGTCCTACGTGAATTTCAATGCGGTGAGTGTAACTGTCGGACGCGTACACGTTCATTGTTTGTGAAGCAAATGAGAGAAATTTGATTCCAGGTGATCCGTTTATCGTCGTCATACTTTATGTTGCTGAAGTCTATGCAGTGAAACGTTCCAAAAGTAATAGGCGATATTTATTACGTCGGACGTCATTCATCACGACTTAACTAATTGGCTTATCTACTAGGAAAGATACAATGTGTATAGACGTATAGTCTGTACATCTGAAATTGAATTTTTCTGTAACATACAAAAGTATTATTAAATATCGCTGAATTTCGATCATCCCGTAACAAGTTTGCCTTGCTAAGTTGATACTGTTAATTCAAATCTAAAAAAGGTAATCTAAAAAAGCGAGCTCGACACACGAGTAGTCCGTCTCGGAATCGTGTTAGAAGAACGTAATAAATATTATGAGTAACCGTGATTTTGTTAATATTAAAATGGAATCTTAAACACGGAAAAAACTTATCCAAACCAATTTTTCAAACGTTACCGTTTTTAGAAACACGCGTTTCGTTTCTTTATTATCAATTTTTATCGAATCGCCTTTATTTTTAACCTCATTGAATCGCAAAAGCATTACTAGTTTCACATTCCTCGATGTTTTCTACATCGATAAAAAAAAGTATTAAATTTGGATCAGTCTACGGAAGTTGTGAGCAAGTAAAAATGTATTGGGTAAAGTTTACCCATGTTTAAGATTTATGTAACTTTTTGACATTTAGTGTTACAGGATTAAGGATCACGATCCATACCAAGAGAAAGAATATCTGAAGGGTAATAAATATTTATTTTGTGAATACTAATAACATATTTACTTAAATCTAAATTCTCTTATTTAAATAAAATAAACAATTACTTTCATGAAAATCTAAGGTTTCCTCAAGGTTTTAAGAAAATATGTATTTTGTTATTTCAAAAATATTTTATATCAGTACAGAGGGTACTTAAAAAAAATGTTAATACTTATACGTAGAAAAAGTTACTTATAGTAACTTATGGTACATTTACAATAACTAAATTACTAATATGGAAAATTTGTTAAAAAAATTATTAACACTCATATGGAGAAAAAGTTACTTTCATATAAATATTATATTAGTTCACACTGTTTTGAAGTATTCTATATAGGTAAATATATTATTAGTAACCACTCAATAAATACTTACTGTTTCTTAAGTATTTTTTCTCTCAGTGTATCCGCGCCGAGTCTAACAAATGTTGAGCATTTCCAAAAAAAAAAAACCTGTCTAGTACTGTCTGCTTTTTATCGCAAATTAAGTAAATTTATATATGAATAAAAAACGTACATCTTTATACGATATGTATTTATCATTTCTAAAGAATTTTCGGCAAGTGTTACTCTCTATATATCGTATAAATATCGCGAATGCTGCCGTGCGTCGCGAAGTCGACACACGTCAAATCCGAAACCTCAGCGTTTGTACCTGGAATCGATGTTGGGGTGAGCTGTGTGCAGGCAAACAAATAAGTGGACGCTCGAAGAAATAACAACACTTTTTCCTAACATGACTGGACTGTTACCGTAGTATGTGACAACATGAGAAAAGTTTTGAGAATATACTTTCTACTTTCTAGGATAGTATAGTGCATTCTTAGAATAAATATTCCCGTTTGTCGATAAGATAATTTGGATGGTAGCATCGTCTTAGCTTCTTCTATTTTTCCGCAATTTATGCCAGAAGAGTCTTTGTAATTTTACGATCGATCGCGAAACGATACCTCTTCGCGTTTCTTTCGCGCTGTAAGCATCTCGGCGACACGCGCACTTCGAGGCACACGACAATCGACGTTAAAAGGAATTCTCAATAAGAGACTGAACGCGATCTATATCCCCGGGCGATTGAATTTCGTTTTTATAAAGTAGCGGAGGTAGAAAGGCCGAAATGGACAGCGTAGACGAGTTTTTTCAACAGTCGCATTACAATATTATCCGTGTTCTCTTAAGTGTCAGCGGCCTGTGGCCTTATCATAGTACGAGCAAACGCCGCGCAATATATTTTGGTTTTCTACTGGTGCTCGGATCCGGTTTGACGTTCGAGGTATATTCAGCAGGAAGTCTCTACTTACTGCGTAGCACGATATAAGTGCAATACTGCCGTTTCTATCGTTCGATTAAACTGAAAATTCATTCAGAAGGAAGGGAAAATCTATCGTCCGTATATACGCTGTTCAAAAGAAATATAGCATAAAAAAATTACAGAAAGAAAGAGGTGAAATTTGAAGGAGCATTATTCTGCGAAAAATTTAATTTTGAAGGTAAAGTGTCTACTATAAGAAGCTATTCTTGAATTTTTGTTTTATAACTCGTCGCGTTATTTCCCCTAAAAAGAAGAACGTAATTTTTGTATTAAAAGTTGTGTATTTCAGCGGGATCTATAGAACTGACAAAAATTTTTTTCACGAATTTTATTTATAAGATGGTAAAAATTGATCTTTGCCTTTTAATTAGAAAAAAAAATTGTGCTTACAATTTTATTTCGCATATTTTCATTATCATCAGCATTAGCATTACCTGACGTGAACCGCAGAGAGAATTTTACACATCGCGTGTGCAATAAATTAGATTATGTATAAATGTGTATATATGCGTATGTGTGTAGATTCGCGCAGGTGTTAAATGTGTAAAATGGAGTTTTGGTGGTTAATATAGAGTATTTTTAAGAGATTTAGAAAGGCCATCAGCTAATCTATAAGAAGAGAAGTGCTAATTCAAATTTGAAATGGATATTCCTGAAGAGAATATAAGAGCTTATAAGTAACATGCACAAGCGGCTAAAGGAAGTGATCACATACTGAGAAAGAAATACTCGATATTAAATCCCAACTTTACACATTTAGCACTTACATAAATTTATACATTTACACATAATCTAATACATTATACACACTGTGTATGGTTATACACAGTGAGTAATACCAGCAATGAAATCGCGGAAACAACTTTTTCTTTAATTAAAGGGGAAAAACAATCTTTATGATTCCGCAAATAAAATTAACAAATCAAATTTTACCAGTCGTATGAATCCCGCCGAAATACGCCATTTTTATTATAAAATCACGTCTATACTTTTGGGTGGATAGTGAGGCGAGGATATCATAAAACAAAAATCCTTACAATAAACGCTTTTAAAATAAAAAAATAGATGTTCATACGATGATTCTTCATGCAGTAATGCTCATTCAAATCACCTATTTATATCTGTAATTTTTTATGCCATATTTGTTTTTAGCAGAGTGTATGTAAAATGTCTGTCTGTATGTTTCTAATAAGGCATTTTAAGGTTAGAAAACGCATTCGAAAATTTAACACTCTATAGCAATGATAGCTAACATTACTCCGGAACGTCATTCTTTTATAGTTTTTACGACATTACTCTATTATAATTTCATTGTCTAAATGTTTCTGAAGTCACTAATTATAATTTTAACATTAGTTTGTAATCGTAATCATGGGTCTAAAAAACTTCTTCGAAACTGACTTTGAATAAAGTCTTCGAAATGTCTGCGATTTCGGTCCGCCATTTTGAATCTCGCAAAACTAATGTCAAAATCATAATTAACTCTTAATCAACTTGAATCAAATTTTGCATAATTATTTTCTAGGACTTTTGCGGAAAATATATAAGGCTACCATGAAACTTAGACACTCCATCCTTCTCCTTGATTTCATCTCCTTGACACTTTATGATAATTTAAGTTTAGATGTTCTAGATATAAGAAGCCCGCCGGGTATTTCAAGCTAGGGTAGAAGTAAAGCGTCACCCCTGTCGATAAATGTATCCTCATTGATGTGAGGACGACGTACGTAGGATGCGTTTATACCGTGAATCGCGTGCACCCTTCGCGGAGCGAATGCGATCTGATCGATTGACGTGCTAAAGCGATTGACAATTGCAACGCAAAATTGAGCGGTTCGATCGATCGCGCGACTCACAAGTAACACTACCCAAGTGCCACACGCCGACCTTCTTGAAACTTTGCACACATATCGTACATCGAAAAACATTAGACATGTATTTTTTTTATTTTGGCTAACAAGGCATTTTAAGGTTAGAAAGCGCATTCGAAAATTTAACACTCTATAGCACAATGATAACTAACGCTACTCCTGAGCGTCATTCTTTTACAGCTTTTACGACATTACTCTATTATAATTTCATTGTCTGAATGTTTCTGAAGTCGCTAATTATGATTTTGACATTAGTTTTGCGAGATCCAAAATGGCGAACATTGCAGACATTTCGAAGACTTTATTCAAAGTCAGTCTCGAAGAAGTTTTTTAGACCCATGATTACGATAAACTAATGTCAAAATCATAATTAGCGACTTCAGAAACATTCAGACAATGAAATTATAATAGAGTAATGTCGTAAAAGCTGTAAAAGAATGACGCTCAGGAGTAGCGTTAGTTATCATTGTGCTATAGAATGTTAAATTTTCGAATGCGTTTTCTAATCTTAAAATGCCTTGTTAGCCGAAATAAAAAAATACGTGTCTAATGTTTTTCGATGTACTATATGTACTACATGTGTGCAAAGTTTCAAGAAGATCGGCGTGTGGTACTTGGATAGTGTTACTTGTCAGTCATCATCAACGACTTTGTCTGTGCCGAACGCAGGTGCTGGGCATGGTCGAAGTCTGGCCGGACTCTTTCGAAGTGGTCGATTGTTTGCCGTTATTAGTTCTCGGTGTGGTGCCGATGATCAAACTGGTCTGCGCGGTGTACACAATACCGGAGGTGCGTAAATAAATGAAATAAAGAAAGAAAGAGCAAAGTAGCAACGGTTGCCTCCATTGATACGCGCCGGTCGAAACAATTGCGATCAGGACCGGAGAATAATAATCGAATGATACGAGATCGTACTTAAATTGACTTCGAGCTGCAGATAAGGATACTTCTGATAAAGATGCGGGATTATTGTCTCTCCCCCAAGTCGAACGAGGAGACTAATATACTGCACTCACACGCGTTGTATGGCAGGAATTTAGGCTACGCTTACACGGGTGAGTTTATTCTCTTTCTCTCTCATTTGATCAAAATAATATAATCTTATCCTTAGCGAAATTCTTTTATACAGGATGAAACACGTAACTGGAATTAAATTACATTCCAAAAATACAATAAATCATATAGAGGTGGTTTAAAAATCAGATTGCTTAACATGATTGAATTTGTCTTAATATTACCTATAACTTTTATTATAGAGTAAAAATTGAAAATTTGAAAATTACAAACGACAACAAAGACTTCGAATAATACATTTCATAGCCCCCTTCGATTTATGCAGTGACTGTTTGGATGAACTCTCAACTCTCACTAAGATCTACACTTATAGTGTTATCGAAATGGTTATCCAGTTATGTGTTTCAGCCTATATATAACCTCAAGAATTGTTCAGAAACTACAAAGAGAATATTCAAACAAAAAGAAAAAAAAAATATTCCAAACAAGAAAGAACTCCAGTTGCAAAACGCTATTTCTGGTAATTCTATATTTTAAGCAGAACCTTTTATCGAAAGGATATTTTTTCGTCAGCCAATAAAGAGGAATAGTATTGTGCTTAGAATATTTTCCTTCTTTCTTTTCTTTTGGTTTTAGAAGAATCCTCTTGAGATCGTACATAGAAGGATCCCACTAAGGGTGAGATTATATTTTTTGGACGCTGAAAACAACGCGCTAATCTAATGCGCTTTCATCTTCCCTTCTTCTTCTTTTCTCTCTCCTTCTCTCGCTCTCTCTCTGTCTTACGTTAGAAAAGCATTACGTTTTCTAAATCAGGTGTCTTGCTCAGCCACACCGTCGTTTTCGTGTTAGCGACGTTGTTCACTAAGTTTCTCGACGCGGGAAACGGTGGCAATAATTCGTCAAGTATCGCGCACGACTCGCAAGCGGGATTGCCTTATCGCGTTAATTACATGGTCGACGTGGAGATATATTATGTCCCGATTTTCGTACACAGCGCCACATGTGTCGTATTTTACACGATCTTGATGATCATGTTCGACGTATTATATCTGACATTCGTCCAACATTGTTGCGGTTTATTCGCGGCTTTGAGGTCAGTCTGATGAATTACAGATTGTGGGCTCGGATACTCGGCGCGAAAACGTCATCTGTTTTTAATGTCCGTCATATTGAATTCTAGGTATCGCTTGGAATACGCGGTCAAGTTTGAAAACGACGGCGGGGATTTAGTGCCGACGTCCAGGCGGAATAACATCCGTTCCAATATCTTGTACAGTATTCGAAGGCACGCGGAAGCGATACAGTCGGTATATACATATTCATACGATCACTCATTATTATTGTGAACTGATAAGTAATACGAGCGGCGTTCTTGCGCGTATTGCACCAGATTCGTTGCTATCATGGAGTCAATGTACAGGATACCTCTTTTCGTGCACGTGGGAGCTAATGTATCGGTTCTGAGTTTTCTAGGATTTCAGGTATTCTTAAATTAGCTGATAATTATCGCACTGTCTCTCTATAATTACGCTTGCATACGTCCGCAGGTGATAACGAATATGGAAGACATCAATCGGGTCCTCAAGCACGCGAGTTATCTGAGCGCGCTGCTTCTCAATACGTTCTTTGAGAATTGGCAAGGTCAGAAAATCATAGATTCCAGCGAGAAAGTGTTCGAATCCGCGTACGTTTCACGATATGTCACGATATGCCAATTACGTAAACGTCCGTTGTAAATTTAACCGAGTCACGAACGAAGGAGATCGACTTTATGTCTCGCGGAAATTGTTTCGTGGACTTTCGCGATTATCTCGCTCCGAGTGTGTAGATAGAGATATATACATTTGATATATCTGTGTAGATATAACGCAGAGTGGCACAAAATGTCAACGGAGCAAAGGAAGTTGCTCATAATGATCATGATGAGAAGCAAGAGACCGTCCCGAATGACTGCAGGTAATTTCGTCGTCCTGTCGTACGTGAATTTCAGCGCGGTAAGTAAGATCTCCACGTCTCTCGTTGAATCGACATGAGATTTCATCCGATTCAATTTAAGGTGATACGCGCGTCGTCGTCGTATTTTATGCTGCTACGGTCTATACACTGAGAATTGCAGGTGTAACGAACGAAATTTAGGTATATTACACGTTGATCACTGCGCTTTAATAACGTACTGTATGTATTATATATTTTGAAGACAGCTAAACTCCATAAATTTTACTTATAGTTTTTTCCCTCGTATATATATTTTACTAGTAAATATTTCACGATTGTAAGTGTGATAAATATCCTGAGCCAAGACCTTCGCGAGTTACTCATTGCGTTAAACCTAATACGTGAAATAATGCTCGAGAGAGAGACAGAGAAAACATCATATACAGAGGTAATATATATACATTGTGTTCAAACCAAAGTGAGGCAAAAGAAAGACGCTATTACTTGTAGATTTGGGGATATATTTAATAAACGCATATTTTTTTACATGAATAAAGGTTCACGCAAATTGATTTACTTGTATAGTTCGAATATTCTTTTATCTTTGGTTTTCATGGTGACGCGGAAACGCCTGAGGAAACTTTCAAATGACACGGAGGATATTTTCTGGAATCTCTCAGTCTTAACGAACGAAGTCTTTATTCATGTAAAAAAATTTAACAATAAAATAAGGTCTATGACAGTCAATATCAGATGGACTTGTTAAAATCAACTATCAGGTCATAAATATGACACACAAAATGTATTAAATATTTCGGTTACGCATTGGAACCTTCCTCAATACAATATTTATTTTATTATACCTATTTCGTTGTTCATTTAGAAATTTATTAAAGCCTTAATTCAATAGAGTTTAAAAAAATTTATTCATTAAATATATCCTTAAACTTACTAATGATAGCGTTTTTCTTTTGCTTCACTTTAGTGTGACACACTGTATATGTATATGTGCGTTATAGTTTTTTTCTTTTACATAAATTCTTTTGAATTTTACTATGTTTCTGCATACAGGAACAGTCAGTAAGATCTACCTTTCTAAGGAATATATAGTAAATTTCGCTAGGAACATAGCAAACATTTTAATAGCACATTTCAGATCCTAAATTACAATAATACATATAAAATGAAAGGATAATAAGTTACTGCAGAATATGTTGATGCGTTACAAAATTCTACAGCAATTTTACTATAAAATTCTTTCCATGCATACGGACGATCCGAACGCAGTACTCTTTAAGAATTAAACGTACGGATACCGCGAATAGAAGATCTAATTTCTTTGGACTCGACGCACTCTAAGACGAATTTCGACGATCTTCGTCAGCTCGACGCGCAAAGCGAAGGGGCCAAAGCATTTCTCGTTTTTTGAATTCTTAAAGCAACGTGTTATCGTATGTTGCACACATGTTCCGCAAAATCTCATACTAACGAGATAGTCGCACCTTTACAGTTACTACGGTATCTCTTACAGCAATTATTTTTTTTATGTATAGCTTAATTTGCGGCCGCTCTCGAGTATAACTCACGAAAGTTGTCGAGGAAACGGGCAGGTAGAGGTACGTCGATTGCTCGTAGCTTCAGTTGGACTGACAATAGTCATTGACGATGATCCTCGAGCTGCAATGTTCGCACAGCGAACGCTCAATTCATCGAACAGAGAACCGTGAAGTAAGAGAACGACGTGCGCACGACCTTAAAGAAAGCGATGCGTCAACGCGTCTCGCGCGGATATATCGGCATATTGAGGCTCATTTAAAAAAGTTCTCTTACTGAGGCGTAGTTCTCCAAGTTCAGGGCGTACAGCTTGCCCGCGGTTATCTTAATCGGCTTGTAACTTCTCATTAGCATAATGCTGATCACCTTCCTCGCTCTCAGCGAAATCTGATACCATTCTCCGCTGGTTCTGAAAGGCCGACATGTTAAATCCTGTCTTTTATTGTAGAGTTATTGGTGTGATCTGTTTTATTCTGGCGATTATGTTTGTCGAGTCTGTGCAAACGGTACTTCACGCGATATACTAGGTTGTATCCTAAATAATTTCCATTCTCTTCTCGGAGAAGAGTAAGTATTGTAGTAAAAAGTCAAACGTGCATAAAAAAAAACAGTAATTTTGCTCATAATTCTGTATAGTCTAAGATTACAACAATTTTGTTGTAATTTTTACTGCAATATTTTCTTCGTGTATAAGATATTTTATGCAATAAAGTCTAATTTAATGTACTCGTCGTTATTAACAATTGCTGTCCAATTAATAAGAAATTTAACAATTCTTTCTGCAAGTATCAAAGACAAAATAAATACTTGTTATCTTCGTAAGAGATTATTGTTGACTCGACTCAACGTGTGTGAAATATTCTCAATCGTGCTTAAAATTGGAATTGTTACATTGTGACACCGAATAGAAATTGTGCTCAATGTAGTCAAGATCGTTAAGGTCAAGGTTCTTCGTAGTGTAAAGTGCACATGCGGTACTTACATGTATCCGAAAATCTTATCGGTATAATCTGTTAACTGCTGACCCGGCCAGCTTTCGAGGAAAAGGACGGAAAGCAAGGTCACCGTGAACGACGCATATCGCAACGCTTGCTTCGGATCGGTCAACTTTACCACCGCCTAATCGTAAAATATGAGTTCTCTCATCACTTTGTGGATACGTAATTGCAAATCCTTACAGCAATATTGTCTAATCTTAAGTACTATACATGTCACTTTAGGATCTTTTGTATATATAGCGTCGCCGATACTGCACTATAAGTAATGATGCTACACGCAAAAAAATGACTTAGTAATATCAGCTAAACCGCGGTAGATGATTCAAACTTAGTCAAAAGGCTAATCGTTTAGCTGACACTGCTAAGAATTGGCTATGACAGCTAAAATTCGCTATGAAATATAAATATATTAGGTGACATTAAAAATGCATATTATTTCAAATAGCTAGAGAGCTATGAAAATGGCAATTATTCCTAAATTTCTTATCGTATGCATATTAAAGAAGTTTGCCGCACAGCTACAATCATTTGCTACAGTCATTTGTTTCTAGCAGCTAATATTTCTCACTGTAGCGCCTAAGTTTAAACAGCGAATAAATTTAGCTTCGGTAGTATCGACATTAGCTGTCTCTATTTCAGTGACACATCTGCCACAGCAATTTTTTAGTTCTGGAAACTAGTTCTTTTTATGCGTGTACAATTGCGAGTGCTCTTATCTGTTCCAGCACTAACCTGGAATATCGTAAAAGTCATGCCGACCATGTTGAAACCTAATTGAAAAAAATACGATGTCGTATTCGCGTTCTCGAGCCTTCTAGCGTATCTTCAAGTCCGAGAAAAGTTAATAGCATTTGTTAATAACAACATATACATATATACGTGTGTGTGTCTTATATGTAAAGTGTAAATGCTAGGAAATACGTATGTTGCCTAATTCTCGTCCATTTAGTCGTTATATATCAAGAAAATATCAATTTTTTATTTTATAAAATGTTGCGAACGCAAGAAACATAAAACAGCTGGATTTATTGTGTAAAAGGGTCAAATTTATAAGTATTCGGCGATATTTATAATAATAATAACTAATTTACAAGTTTATTGTATCTGAAGATCGAGTTAAATTGAATGAAAAAAGTGCACGTTCACTGGAATTTATATTTCAACGTTAGCGTGTGAGAAATTCAAATTACATGTAACATACTGAGAAACAAGTATTTGATACTTGTGATTATATACAAGATGTCGGATGATAACTCATAAAACTTCCATGTACGTGTGAATTTGGTCAAACTGAACAAAAAATTTCTTTATCATTTTGAAACAATCATAAAAAAATATTAAGTTATTAATTAAAGAGGATTGATAAATTATCACGCGCGATACAATAGACGAACTGTGAGTCTGTCGTCGTGTGATTAAACTGAACCAAAGAGTCTTGTACCACTTTGTAAATAATCACGTAGATTTTCACTTATTAATTAATAAGGAAGATTGACTAATGATTGCAGACGAAATCTTCCCTAATTAATATCTGAAAATCTAGGTAATTATTTGCAAAATGGCATAGGACATTTTTGTTCAGTTTGACCTAATGTACAAGAATACGATGACAGAGGGCGCTATTACAATTCATCTATCGCACATAATCGTTCATAAATGTGGTTATCCGTAAAATGATAGAGGAGTTGTTTGTTTAGTTCGATCTCACCTACATGTACTGTTCTATAGTTCCGAATAGAGATTCTGAGTTCTACTCGGTGGTTTCGTTTCCTTTGTATTATTTATTAACTCCTCTTTCCTTTGACAACAACTTATTGCTATCTTTTTTGGTAGGGAACGCTTCATCTCGGTTGGAACAAGAAAGAAAGTATAAGTTTACTCTTGGTCCGATAGACTGTTTGTCAAAAAACTTTTTTTTAATTTTTCGGGCTTGTAATTAAACTTATTGATTTGTGCTTTTGGAACAATGTTTGGAACAACTAGAACAATCTATATCGGTATCGGAATGCTTTATTTTCAAAAAATGAGATGCCAGGTCAAAAACATTTTTTTCATTTTTTGGACTTATAATTCAACTTACGGATTTGTCCTTTTGGAACAATGTTTGGAACAACTAGAACAATCTATTGCGGTATCAGAATGTTCGATTTTCGAAAAGTGGGGTGCCAGCTCAAAAAATCATTTTTTTTGTTTTATTCGAAAACCGTTTCGAATGAAGCAATATCACTTTGGAACAATGTGGTACAAAGTCAGAACAATCTGGAACAACTTTCAAAATTATAAATTTCAAAAAGTGGGGTGCCAACTTCATACACTCGACTGTGTCCTACGACTGATTCGAGCTCCGCACCCATGACTTATCACGCGAGTCCTTGTTCTCACCTCCTATTGGAGGGACTTTGTTTTAATCCACGCCGGCATTAGGTCTTTGTGGTTCGTCGCTTAGAGTTACACGGACACGGACGCGACTCGGGCCGCCGCATCCGTATGTGTATGCGTATTCGTATGCGTGCTCGTATATACACGTGTATGTGTATGCTTTTTCGTACTTATTCTAGGTCGTGCACGACTCGCTTAAACTACGTAACATACACAGAAGTTTTATTTGTCGTCGTCAGACATTCTGTATATCTATATAATTGCACAGTGATATAATTATAGTTAGAAAAACATTTTTTTGGTAAGTGCTGTATCAGTGATAGAATATTGCTACTATATTGTTTTCTTATTAGAATAACAAAAAATATGGTGCCAAAAACGATTATAATTTTAGTGAGATTAATGAATTTTTTCTTCATGTGTACATGTGCGTCACTCTCTTTCTGTGCGATAATATATTTTAAAGATAACAACAAAGTAATAATTTAGAGATACTAACTCTATTATGTGGCTATGCATAATGACGCAATCCTTAGCGTGTTCGTACCCTATATCCTCCTCTCGATTTGGATGTAAATCTATGTTTAAAGTAGTCGCATCGACAATCCGTGCTAGCCGATATCTAAAAAATGCTCATTGATGAGCGTATTTCAAGCGTGAGTTGACACGGAAAATTGTCGAGACTTAATCACACGTGATTCAAATGAGTCGTGATGTCCGGGCATTTAAGCGTCGCTGTCTCTATCTCGCATACGAGGTGGCCTATCATTTTTATATATACTTTTTCACGATACGGTGCCACATGGATGACACAAAGTCGGGTGATATGCGCAACAATAAAAACATTCCACGACCACAATGACAGATATTTATTGAAGAGTCTTCCTTTCTCGTACGTTCGATTTACATAATAAAAATGCATATATCTCCATATCAAAAGTATATAAGACGTAAGAGGAAAGAACGCGTGACAGTGTGAGAGACTTTGGTCGGTATGAGATGAGGTGAGCGTCACCGGGATCTCTTTTCTCGCGAGAGCGTACACGTGTATGTGGAAATGTGCGAGTTTCCACATGAGATGCGTGAAGTGCGCTTCGAACGAGGATGCTGTCTCTTTTCTTATAAAGTGCCGTTATTGCGGAGTTACCCGAGAATCTCGCACATCCCGCACTCGTGTTGGACGTGGAACACCAACATCGAGTCGATCGCCACGACGATCGAGACGAATCCGAGTGTGCCAATGTATGAATGCACCAACAACGGATAATAATACTTCTCCGCGTCCAGAAGGTAGTCCAAACGGAACATTACGGGTCTCCCTTCGGAGGCGTTGTATAATCCCATATAGCTAGCTGTGTTTAATACTACCGGCACGGCCAGAAATGGGGCCATAGAGCCGTAGAGGGAAGCTGCAAATGCGATGTTATCGATCATTGATTCTACTCATGTCGATCGTCTCGATCAGAACACGAACGAGATTTCAATTTTGTTCAAAGTGCGCGGATTAAATGCGTCTTTTCTATTTATTTCTTTTTTATATGTAAAGGAAAGATGCTCATACTCTCTTTAAAGTGCACAAGCCTCTCTCTAAAATGTCATATTTTTATTTAGAGAAATTAAATATTATCAAAATGTGTCTGTCGATTAGTAAACTCATTTAAAACCCATAATTCGTATACAAAATTTTGCTTGCTAAATCGACTTTTACTGCGTATTCGTAAAGTTCTAAAATTTGATTAGTTTTTTTTTCATCAATGACGTATTTTAATTAGTGATATCCAATGACTTATATAACTAGACGATAATTACTGTAAAGCTAACTATTTGGCAAAGAAATAGTGCGACAAGAAACTGATCTTAAATACACCTCTCTCTTTTCTTTTCCAAGACTAAGCATACTTCTCTCTCCTTTCTTATAAATATTCTAATTTTTTCTTATATATATCATATATATATATATATATATTCTAATCTTTCATATATATATATTCTAACCTTTATTCAAGTTCTTTATAGACAAAATGGCAAAATTATCTCTGTTATCCATATTTCATATTAGTTTATAATTATATTTATTTCTCAATTTCTTTAACTTTTATCATTTTTCCTTTGTGTATATTTCGTATTTCTTCTGCTTACCTACTCTTGACAATTCTCTTGAGCTGTCATACGTACATACATTACTAATTGATTGAAAAGAGAGAGGAACACTGAAATATTATCATTCTCTTCTCTTCACATGTCAACTTCACCTTCTTTACACAGATTCTATATGAGTGTTCCGTCTAGTTATATAGATTGTTGATGATAACTTTAGTTTTATGTAAGCTTCTTCAAAATTGTATTTTGTTTATCTTTATTACTTCTTGCACGATCAATTTGGCGCCTCTTTCCTTTATGTGCAAATTCAATTATTATTTTCTCTAGAAATACGCGCTCCGCATGATCGTTGGAATCTCGTCGGCGAAACTTAAGTCGTCTAAAGCACGCTGCTTTGTTTTTTACCTGCGTAGCCAATCGTGACTTTTCTGCCGATCTCGTAATTCCTACAAAGGATATCGTATTCTTCACTAGACTTCGAGTGTATGTTCCAGTCGTCCGTCATTACAACTGTGAGCTTCTTCATCTACGCTTGCAAGGAGAACTAGGCTTAGTGCCGCGCGACAAAGCGATAAATCCTCCGATAATCGACATACCTGCTTATGATTGTACGTATAATTAACGTACTTGCAGATGCACATTAGACTAATCACGAAGGGTGACGTACTCTCCATAAACACGTCAATGTCACCCGCGAACAAAGCGGTGATCATACCGCCACCCTGCAAAATTTCCGAAAGTTTGCGGGACTTTCTTCAATTATCGCTGGTGTTTTCGCGACAGTACGCACTCCCGGAAACGTGAAGCTTCGCGAATATCAATCACCAAATATAATACCTAACGTTGACCGAGAAAACAAACTACAACAAACTACATACACACACACACACACATATACACAATGCACCAATTCGGATTGAAAACTCTGATAATTATAACCGACGTATGCATCAGACACAATAATAATCATATAATTATTGTCACTATTCCTGATTGATTGTATGATATCGCATTTATGACTCGATCCAATAATAACGATCATTGACCATAATCGAACAGAACCAATTGATTTTTGGTACATAAACTGTTAACTCTTAATCTTAGTGGTCTCTTCCGGAATTCCGTTATTTGTCATAGGAAATTTGCGAATTTGCACAAGTAAAGCTCTGCCACCCTACTCTTTCTTGTATTTAACAACACGTAATTTAATGTACGTTGGCACAACAAAATCCCCTTCGTCCCTTCCCCCAAAGAATCACATCTGCAGTATAATGTCTTTCGTTGGGATATTTTTATTCAATGATCTCGTCGTACATTTTCGTACTGTCACTGTGTGTAGTCCGTTTTACCGGGAGAGTTAAGGGCTAATTACACTCCACGTTCCTCGCGATTATTCAACAGGACTTGACGCGAGCGAGGGTTTACCTGGAGGACCGCCTGAGCGAAAACCAGAGGCGCGAAGACAGTTTGGATCAAAGCTTTCTCCCAATTCTCCTGATGCGGCCATTGGCCGATGAGACACATCAGGAAGTGATTGATGCGCATATATTGATCTTGGACCCTGTCCATCCTGACTATTCCGCAGCAGGTATAGCACTGCTGCGCTTGCAACGAATCAGTGCACACAGTGCACCGCACAGACACGTGCGCGTGTGCGCACGTAGAAACGCATACACATACACGCGCGATGACGAACACACCGTGGCCTCGTTAGGCATTCCGTTTGGGCGAGCGCGGATGACGGCGCGTAATTGAGAAAAATTGCACCGCGAACGGAATTAAGTCGATACATTATGTGGCACTTAAGAGAAACGATAAATTCTCGGCGCACCCTACGCGATATTCTTTCTTGTCGCCGTCGCGATCGTTACGTGTACACGAAAGGGGTTGAATTAAGTTTCGATTGCACGGAAAGTTAAAAGTGCGCCAGCAACGCTTCGCTTGAACCTGACGGTCGTTCCTCGAAAGGAGTTCCCAGTGCGAATTTTACTTTGATTTTCGCTCCGGTAATATCGCCGACTACGCTTTCCTTTATTAGTGCTTTCGAAGAACCTGCTTCGCACGGCAGAATATTAATAGCGCTCCGTCGAGCATGCTACGTTTAAAGCGGTATTTACAATGCTCGCGATCGTGTAAAGTTAAAGGATTGTGCAAAGAATTATATGGGGTAAATTAGCCATTAGTTATGCAAGAATGATCCAACTCGCAAAATTGTCGAATTTTTGTTACAACTGATAAAGGAACATAGGCAATCCGAAAATCCAGAAAATTCTGAAACATTGTGTGCGAGTAGTCCATAACATAAAACTATTGTTTGTTTCTGCTAAATTTCGATTTAAGGGGGTGAAACCACTTTTCGAAAAAACATAACATTTAATTTTAATTAATTTTAATTTTTAGCGAATATTTCCTAAAATACAAGGCATATGAAAAAATAGTTTATATAAAAGTTTATATAAAAGATAGAATATTTTATATAAAAGTTTATATAAAAAATAGAATATTTTATATTCTTTGCAACGGTGTATTCAAATTTTGTAAAAATGAGACATTTTTGAACCTTCCTTTCCCCATTCATTGGTTTCGAGGGGTGGTTTCACTTCTTTAAATCGAAATTAAGCAGAAATAAAAAATAATTTTATATTATGGATGTATTACTCTACTTGTACATAATGTTTCAGAATTTCCTGAATTTTCGGCCTATGTTTCCTTGTAAGTAGTGTCCATATGTGCTTTTTCACATAAAACAAAAACGATTTGCCTAAAATTAACTAAAGAATAATCATTCGCTGATACTATTACATTTGCGCCGATATTGTAAATATATTGTTCTATGAAATACAATCATTTTTTCAGTGATTAATTCTATATTAATTTATATTGGAATGTATATAATTATAGCTGCACATGCCAGTCTATATCATTAGATTGTTTGAAATAATGCGAGATGTAAAAGATGATCACTTCTCCTAAGTTTTAAACAACTATTTCTACAAATATAGTTTATTTTCTACTAGTTGCTCTATTTTTTTACTAGTTGTGTCTTCTTTATCCATTTTTTTAGGATTAAGCTTATCAATGAAATTAAGAGATGAAAATTGATCATGCTTGACTTCTTAAACAATTGCGAGGAACTTCAGTGCTATTTACATCTTTAAAATTATGTAATAAATCTTCAATGTGGGTTGGATTATTCGTGCGTAACTACGGCGATAATACAAATAATATTCCTTGTTATAAATATTGAGAATATTAAAACAGTTTACAATTTAAGTATGAATAATTTCTTTATGTACTTTTAAGAGCTTCGATATTGCTAAATATGTAGCTGCAATAATTTTAACTTTATTCACACCTCAACATCGTATCTATTAGCTTTCAATATATACAGTCGAAGTTTCAATAATGCTGCTAAATTGTGAAAAATTATCGAGATCTCCTACGTGTCAAAATATTCTTAAATTGCTCTAAGATGTAGATTTAAGTATTATACTCGACTATATTTGTAGAAACACTTGTTTAAAACTTAGGAGAAGTGATCATCTTTTACATCTTGCATTATTTCAAACAATCTAATGGTATAGACTGACATGTGCAGCTGTAATTATATATATTCCAATATAAATTAATATAGAATTAATCACTGAAAAAAATGATTGTATTTCATAGAATAATATATCTACAATATCGGTGCAAATATAAAGTATCAGCGAATGACTTACTTTTGATATATTTTTATTTAAGAATTTTGTGTCTTAAAATATACAACTTTGGAAACGGGCAGATTTCCCATTGCTTTCTATTTCAGGTGAAAATTCATGATTCGTCGAGAGTCATTACCTTTTAATATTATTCTCATGTCCACTTTTGAGAAGCAAAGTTTATTGTGCCGACCGTAGGAAAGTGAAATATGATATGGCGGTTTTCAGAATCTTGAAGAAGAAACGAATGTAAGCCATGTAAGCACACGATATCTCTCAATATCTTACCGTGGTATATGTTTCCATGCATAAAACGAAGATACCGCCGGTAATTAATATACAAGGCGTCCGCGTCTTTATCAGCATGATAATAATGAATTTCTTTGTTTTGACGCGTCGTACAGGTTTAAATTTATTCTACAATTGTGGGCGAGAAGAAGCTCTCACGTTTCAAGTTATATTTTGAAATACGTATTTTTCTGCACTTTTTAGTTAGTTAATTATGTCCAACTAATCATTGTCCTCTCATATCCTCCTCTCGTACGTTATTTGTTAGTCGTAATTTCGTATCGATCGGTCATTGTTTTCAATGTGATCAAAAACCCGCGTTAATAGATATGTAGATTAGTGTGAAGATCCACTGTAATCCATCAGTTATTGAGCGTTGAAACACTCGAAGCATAAATGAAACAGTAACGCCCACTATTCTTAACAGCTCAGACAACAACAACAAGTTGTTTAAATATGCCAGAGCCTAAATAACGTTGGATTAACACGTTGAATGTCGTGACGATCACCGGTTATCGGCACTATGACATTACTATCATTAAAACTTACATATAGATTATGTAACTTAGATATAATTAACTACATTTTTAGTGTAAAAAATCGCTAGCGCGACCAATAAACATGAAATGAGGCAAAAGATATATGTATGGTAAATGAATTTATTTATCGTGTTTTTGGTAATTAAGGATTGCAATCCACGGAAATCTCTCTCTCTCTCTCTCTCTCTCTCTCTCTCTCTCTCTCTCTCTCTCTCTCTCTTAACGCGGCAGTCAATGTGTTAATCCTTTATCAGAGATTGGTCGAAAATAATTACTATGGAAAATAATTAAATGATCGTGAATTTTCTACTATTCTTCGCGAATTTTCGAAACATCGCTATGTCGCTGGAATTACTCAGTGAATAAAAATCTGTTCGCATTTGTCCGTACAATGCTGTTATCTGCAAATTTATTTTCGTAAATTATCCGTGTGAGTATTCTGGCTTGATCATATATCATGCACACTCAAAAATAAATAGATGTACTGCGACAAAGGAAATAAAGTCGAGTTAATAATTAAAATACATTGCAGACAAAATAGCACGTACCTCATCTACGTACAATATGGAATTTATTACTTTTGTTATACTCGATACATCAATCATTATCGGCATAAAACACTCGATCACAATCTTCATGTGAATGTAAGAGAACATACATTGAAAAATTCATTTAGTTGGGTTAACCAAAATTTGGTTAAAATAGGGTCGAACAAATGTTTCGGTTGTGAGGGCCAAAATTTCGTTGTTTTTACCAAAGATTTGATTCTCTGAAACTAAACCTGTATCACTTTTGTTTCAAAGAATCAAACCTTTGTACTTTTTCAAAGTACCAAATATTGGTTTTTACAATTAAAACATTGTTCCACCTTATTTTAACCAAATTCTGGTTAACTCAACTAAATGAGTTTTTCAGTGTACCGCACAGCTTCAACGACAGCAAATAAAACAGTTTAATCGCAAGACGGTAAAATCATTTCGTCGATACTAATATCATTATAATTCAATAATATAATTATAATTATATTCAATAATAATATAATTATTTCATGCGAGAGTTTTTTAGAACAAATAGGACCATAAAATTTCCACAAACATAATTTTGACTCGTGCGAAATTGTAACGTTTCCCTAACATTTTTAATTGTACGTTGACTACACGAAAGATAGTCATTAAATCGACGATACGTTTCATTATACGCTCCGTAGAGCTTACGTGTTACGAACAATGTGAGTTTAGGAATTTATTTTTCTAAAATAAGGGTTAACATATTAATATCGACACCGCCTTAGTGATAACTTGCGAGCAAATTATAATAGCTATGATAATGACTGTGATGTGGTTCGTTTTAGACGAGTAATACGACCATTGATCTATTGTTGATAGTAGAATTTTATTGATTTTATAATTGTGTTCGTCGAAGTTTATTTTGCCTAAGTTCAAAGAACATCAAGACTGGCACCGAAACTGACACTGACTACAATTTCGAGTTCTACCATGTCGACCAGTTACACATGATGCCTCCTATCGTTATCAATTCTCTGTACAACTCGCTTGTCAAAGCGGACTCAAAGCTAATTGTACCAATTAGACTCTTATAGTCAATGCGAGCAATTGTATACGTACATGGAGAAAAATAATTTGCTGGCTCAGCAAATTTTCTGCTGGTCTTGCAAAATCTTTTCATTATATGGACAGCAAAAAGATTTGATAAGAGTACTAATCATTATTTGCTGGATATAATTTGTTGAATCTACAAATTATTTTGCTATAAGAACCATGATGGATTTATATACGCAGTTGCAGTTTTGCTCTGATAGCAAATAAATTTGCTAAAGATATATCATTTTGCATCAATAGCAAATTAATGTGATTCTTGGGACCAGTACATTCAACAAATTTTTTCTATCTTGGCAACGAAACTACTTCTGTTCTGATAACGAATAATTTGTAAAATTAGTTACATAAACTAAATTTTTTTGATGTCATTACGAATACGCAGTAGCAACGACGATTTTGCTAAAAGAGCAAAATTATTTTTC